AGCACTGGTTCCTAGCACTGCTCCAAAGTCCCCAACCAAAACAGGCTAACATGTCACATTATGCAAGGCAGCATTGAGTACACAGAGATTAGAGTAAGAAATGGAAGAGAATGCAGAGCTTCCACTTCAACAAATATATTAGTCTAAGTCCTTTCTTTAGCCCCCTCCCTTTCCAAAGTGGCCAGTCTGACTCACTGCAGACTGAATCGTTACAGCTCCCACTGAAAAGAGGTCACACTCCCCTGGTCCTTACTTAAGCAAAACAGGCTTACACTCAGTCCTTTGAGATAAGTGTGCTACCGCACCTTAGCCCGCCCCAGAGAGCGCCCGAGGGCAGCCTGTGCGCTCTCACCACTACCCTGGGGCAGGGTCCAGGGAGTGCTAGTGGGCAGCCTACACCCAGACACTGGCATGTGGAGTGGAAGCCAGTAGGTAGGGAGCACATCCTGGGGAGGAGCAGGCAGCTGGCCCCACTGCCCTAAATCATCCCTCCTCTCCTGAGATCCCCTTCTTCCGGACCACCTACCCTGAGCCGCTTCTCAACCTCAACCCTGATTTCTGCACCCCAGCCTCCTGCCCTGAGACATCCATATCCCCAACCCTGCACCCCCTGCCCCATACCATCAGTTCCCTGCCCTGAAGGACCCAAACAACACAGTGTAAGTCTTCTAGTTGGGAAATAAGAAAAAAGTCCCCCTCTCTCACAGGGCCAAGCACAGCTAGAGCTGTTCCTTAACAGTGACCTTGGTTATGAAGGCAGTGTCCAAGTGGCTACACAGGCAAACTAGAATCACAATGTAATTTTTTAAAAACCACTAGAAAAAATTAAGCAGTGCACATTTTGGACAGGGGAAGAATGACTGAAATACAGAGGCTTCTCTAGCCAGCTTTAGAGAAAGTATGTCCTTATTATCCTAATTAAATTAATGTACTAAAATACAGCCTAAAGAAAACCTATTTGAAAGAAAGTATACACCTTAACGTACACATGAAGAAATATTGCAGAAAATTCAGAACCGTCTTTTCACAGTATGCATTTCTTTTTGAGAAATACAATAAAGCAGCTTAGCTGTTGCCTTTTGAGTCATTTTATTTTTATTCTGTGATCCACCAGAGCCTCCACTTTCCCCTTTCCCCCAGTTTATTTTTTTATATAGTTATCTACATTTCCACTCTCACAAAATTCACACTGATGGCAGTAGCAATTTTGTCTGAGCAAGAATAGCAAGCTCAGGCCTTCATTCTATAGTGCATTTAAGTCAGGTAAACTACACAGATGGGCATTTTACAGCCTCAGCTCCACTGAATGCTTTGCAAAAATTAGAGTGCCTTTTAAAGAGAACAGGAAAGAAAGAAAATCAATAAACAGAGGATTATTTTATGAAGTAAACTACAGAACAAGTAAAGAACAAGCTCCATACAGAAAGTAAAACAGGCTCAAGAAGAAATAAATGGGATTAATATTTTGGAGCTACCATCAGCAATCATTTCTTCTATTGGGTTATAAAAAGGCTCACAATCCTTGAGCTGTGGAAGCATGAGAAAGGCAATACCCATCTTACACAGAATTCTGAATAGTTTGGTTTCCCAGCAACATAACATTAATGTCTTCCCCCTATTCCTTATGTAAAATACAAATTAAACTGGCTTTGTACATCTGAGCTAAAATGAGTTGATTATGTTAAAAGAAATTCATCCCTTCTCAGCTGGAAGTGGGTACTCTAGATAAGCTCTAGCTATTATCTGGGGGCAAGGGGTGTGCTAAGACCTATGTTATACAAGGCCATAAAGTACACCTACTGTGACCTGTAGTCTGAGTTGATGGGCTACAGTAGTGGCTAAGGACCCCGCACACCCAGCAGCACACCTAAGTAGAGTCAAGTCTGTCCCATTTACTCACCGCCAGCTCTTATTGAGCTGCTGCAGCCTTCATGGAGAATAGGATATTATGCCCTGGCATAGCCTGCATAAAATCAGATATGCCACTGACATTTTAAATTTTTATCTGGTAATGGAGATGATTGTCTGCAGGTAATGGAAATAGTGAGTGTTTTTTTGGAAGATGGAAGACATTCTGTATAGAGTTCAGAATGTTTTCACTTTGTTTTCAATCCAGAAGAGGGGAATAAATAAATATTCAGACTACCTTTCAGTCCTAAAGAGGAAATTTAAGGTGGCTGGGCAGAAGCCTGAAAGATGTGAAAGTGATAAAGGATAGCCAAATGGATGCTTTATTTTTTTTCACTAATGTAACCAATTAACTTATATAATTATATTTCTGTGCACAACAGAACATCTAATATGGAGAATCTGTATTCCACATGAAAATTTATTCACAAAGCAAAGCAATGCAACATTTTACCTGTTAAACAACAACAGTTACCAGGTAATCAAAAAAACCCCTAAATTCATTCTGAAAAAAAGTCACAAACTGGAACAAGACATTAATGGCACTTTTAATGCATCAATTTATTGCACATCGGTACATAAAAAAATATGTGTTTTGTAAAATCATTTTATTGTAAAAACCAGACTAGAATGAAAGTGTTTGTAAAAACTGCAATGGTTAGCACATAGGACTCAAACATTTATACTCAGTCAACAAAATATAGAAGTACTACTTTATAGGATACTTAAGCTGAATACTTAAAAAAAAAATCAAAGAAAATTCATGTTCCTTGAACATTCAGTGACTGATTTTAAATTCAGAACATAAGTTCATTTAACTCTTGAATATGCTTTAAAGAGACTTTCCTCTTCTGCATGGTTCTACTATAAACTACACAGACACAACAGCATTATAAGTTGTTCTAAATGGGACACACTAGTCATAATTTGATGGCATTATGTGCAGGAGGCAATGGTTTTATTTTTGGCAAAACTGCCTCTTGCAAATTGGCACATCATTTTAAAAATACACACCAAAGAAAGTGATTAATTAAATATAACTGGAGGTATAGCTGCATCTCTTTGCTAACTGAAAATGATAAATCTTATACACTTACCAAATTTTGGGATTTTAGTATCAGAGAAACTCACCTTTGCATTTGTCATCATAAGAGCATCCACAGCGATACTACTAATTAGCCAGGAGATGCTGATGTGCATATTTTTATGTATATATATAAATAAATAGAAGTTAATTCATCTACCCTTACAACTGGGAGATCATCCACAAGTATCAAGTCTGCCAAATATGTTTGTGCTGTGTTATTTTACCTGAGAATGGATATGAGGGCACCTATATTAGTTATTTCCAGCTTATATCTTTGCATTTCACAGTTTCAAAACTATATACTGGGTATGTAAACATGGATCAACAGGAAGCTTTAAGTGTCTCCACTAATTCCATCAAGAAGGAAAAGTACTCTTGGGGGGGGGGGGAATTTATCACAAGGACGCTAGTATCACAGCTACACTAGTTTGACTCCCAGTTCTTTTAAAGTCTATTTACATAAATAGAGAGGCCGCTCCCACTTAAACATATATTTACTGTATCTTTAAACCTCAGTGTGACCCCCTCACCTGTAAACCCTGGAATCAGACTGCTTAGTTCCTTCTCCCCAAACAGATCTATGATTGGTATTTGTAAAAGATAGGAATATAGACTATTCACAACTAAACACTTTATCCTACTGTTATTTTTTGCAAGAAGGAATATTCAACATGAAGAGCACTTTCAAAGGTACGACTAATTACCATTCCATTTATTTTTCAGATAAAACACAAATGATTAAACTTCTGTTTAGCTATTTTCAATGACTACTGCCATGATCCTTTTTAATACCCAAACATAACTGTTTCTCAAACTGAAAACTCAACAGGAAAACACTATTTTGTCACTGTACAATTTGGAGCCAGAATGAGTGCATTGACAGACACATCTTGACTTGTCAGATGTTTGAACTGGGAAGGATTCCCACACATTTTCCACTTTTGCTACCAATGAATAATCCCATTCACATCAGCACAAGATACAGAAAACAGTTAACAAAATTGGTGTTAAGTATTCCCACCTCACCTGCCTCAAATGGATTTTGAAGTGAAGGGGAAACCCCTGTTAAAGTTTCTCATTCACACTACTTAACATGATCCTGTCCCTATGCAGCATAGGAAAGTAGTTTTAAAACATGTATGTGGTTGAGGAAATGACAGGGGAAGGGTCAGTATTCAGTTTAATAAATCCTAAGCATATAGGCACCTCCTACCTGGAATAAATATTCAGCATAACATGCAGGTTTTCAGATATATGACTTGAAATCCCACAGACACCATTGTAAAATCATATGGCTTGGTGATCAAGAGTGCACTGCTGAACATTTCTTGTTTATAGTGATTTCCTCCTCCACCAGTTGCCTTGGCAACTGTGGGCCCAATTCAACATTCACTACTCAGATGATACAAGTGCATAAAGAGCCCTTAATGGTATCAGATTTTACACTGAAAATACACATTCAATTATGATCAGCTTTTGCTTTGGAAATCCATATTTTATATTGGGCATAATTTAATAATTGCAAGACATGACAACTTTTGAAGCTGCTGTTTACTGAGCTGAATTTACAACCTTCAACGAATAATCTGCATTGGGGACTGCAGCTATGAAAAAGCTTTTCCTTTTAGAACAGCAATATTTGTCTCACTTATTCAGCTATAATTTATTTATTCCATATTCTGTAGGAATGTAGTCAGTTTTAAATATGTAATGCAGCTGAAAGTATACAAGAGTAAAATTTGTGAAAATATATATTCCTGCCAAACCATATATCAAATTAAATGATCCACTGAATTCTTTTAGCAGTTAAGAAGGTTGCCACTTCTACATCACACAGGAAAAGAAACATACCACATAGCACTGAAATAATTGGATAAGGAAGTCAGAGAATGTATAGCTAAGTAAAGTTTATAACACTAGGAAGTTCTAAAGTGGATTCCAGTAATTTTAAAGGACTTCTGGCTGCAGTATTAAAAAAAATACTTACATGGATGGCAGCAATATCGGATATGCCTTTATTAAGAAAAGAGTAACCATTGTTGAAAACTATTTTCTCCAGTTGAGATACTTCACACTCAAATCGATATTTAATTTACTGATAACTACATAGCCATATTTAATACCTGTACTTCTATATAATAAAGTAGTCATTAAGGCACCAGTTCAGGAATGCAGCCTTGTTCACAGAAACTAACACAGCCTGAACATACGCGTAAGTGCCACGGCTAAACAGGAATGGACTAAAGCATGTGCTGAAGTACTCTCCGGAATGAGGGCTTAACAGTTATAGCAGAAAGGTATAAGAGAATTCAATCTGAAACAGCAATAGTACATATTTTAGTATTCAAAGCCTTTTTCCCCCCACAGATATCCATAGTCTGGTCAAAAAATGATTGATCAGGCAAACTGCATATTAATCTTCAGCAAATGAGTAATTAAACCTAAATAAGGAATATTATATATTTGTACATGTTAACTGAGTTGATTCCACACAGCTTTGGTATAGCTGTTCAAGCAATGATTCTCATTCTAGAAGGACAGTCATAATTAGGCTCTTATGATTTGGTTGGGGGTTGGTCCTGCTTTGAGCAGGGGGCTGGACTAGATGACCTCCTGAGGTCACTTCCAACCCTAACCTTCTATGATTCTATTAGCTTTATTTGTCAGTTATGTTGAATAAGTGGTCACCATTAACTTGTAATGTGACTGGGAAAAAAATTAAATTTTGTTGATGGTGCTTACAATCTGCATGCTAAATAAAATTTAAATAACAATTCTGTAAACAAAATACAATAACGTTAAAATGAAATTATCTATATTCTCCAGAGTTTAACCAATCCTAAATTTGCTGAGTATGAATGATTATGTGGGTTTCTTATCCCTATCACAGAAACTGCACAAATCAAACATTTAATTACGTTTAAACTGACTATTTGTTTTAGAGGTGTATGTGGAGGGAGTACAGGCATTTAATTCAATCCAATTTAAAAAAAATGTTAAGTTTAATCTGTAGCATTCCACTTGCCACCTCTTCCACAAATAGCACTGCTCTTTCTGCTATCCTGACCCACAGACATGGGACACCTAACCTGAACTGATGATTCTATTTTGATGCCAAAAAGCAAGACAGCTAATAATGGCTATGATGATGAGCTGAAGACAAACAATAATCCTTTTGAAACCTTTATATTTTGATAACGCCTGTTTTTTTCCCCCCACTCTCTTCATAAGTTAGTTTTCTTCTTAGCTGTACAAAGTAAAAAACTTTTCTCGGTGTTTAGTAACGGAGGCTCAAATTTGTGAGCACTACTACAGAATAAATAATGAAATTAATATAGAAAATTGGCTTTTCCTCTTAACTTTCAATTTGTAATATAATATAACCATAAAAATAATCCAGGGTCATACATCCACAGGTGTACACTGGCATTGATGCTATTTACATTACTTAGCATATCTTGTGTAACACAAACATTCAAGGAATAAAACACTATCATGCATGGTATACTTAAACTAAATCCTAGAAGAGAAATATTGTTACAAATATATTTTGCTAACCATGATTGCCCAAACAGCTGATACATACAGCAGAGAAAACTGAAGAGCTTTCTGCCTTCTTAAACTAAGATAATTTATAATAATGTAGTAACAAAAAGTTTTTAATGACCTTCATTATATTTTGAACAAGTGGAATAATAAACATATCCCAAAAGAGTATGGGAAAGACACATAGAACTGCTCACTCATTTACAATGTTGAAAATATAAAAACTATCTGGATCATTATCATAAAGTATTAGACCTTTCCGAGTTTAATTTCACTCTTTAGGCAAGTACAGACATAATATACATTTAAAAATTGACATTCTTTTACCATTTTCACAAATCAAGTTACAGTGCAATTTTATCAGAAAAAGAGTATCAATTATATTATTGTTACATTAGATGATGTTTTTGCCATTTCTTCAGGGGAGTGACTCTTTATTACTTCTTTGATGAACTGTTCAAGTGCAGTGAAATAACCTTGACACTGCCAAGTGTCATTATGAGTTCCATCTGGAAATATTGCCAATCTCTTTGTCCGAGATGGGGATAATTCATAAAGCTGCTTCATCATAACTGGTGGAATTAACTGGTCAGACAGCCCAGAGATGAAGAGAGAAGGCATTCTGCACTGAGAGATTTTTCTGTAGGACAAGTATTGATTTTTGTAGCACCACAAAGGAAGATATCTCATTGGGAAGAAAGAAAACAAAGTGCTGGCCATATGTGGGATGCTAAGAAACGTGTTTTCTACTATTATGGCAGAAATCCTATGGGAATTTTCAGAAGCTAAATGAATAGCCACTGCTCCCCCCAAGGAACGGCCAAAGAGAAAGATTTTTGTTTTATCAAGGTCAGACCTAGTCATCACATAGTCTAGCACGGCCTCAGAATCTAAGTATAGTCCTTCTTCACTTGCTTCTCCTTCGCTTTTTCCATAACCTCTATAATCAACCAGCAGCAAGTTTACTTTCAGGTTTACCAACATCAGCAAAGCATTTGGTAATCTGTGACCAATGTTGCCTGCATTCCCATGAAAATAAATGATAGTAGGAGAATATGCTGCATTATCCCCTGTGTATCTCAGCAGAATAAGATTGAGAAGAACTCCATCTTTGGTTTTGATGAAGATGTTTTCATGTGGTATACCGGTAGGCATAGGAACATAAAGGCGTGAAGAAGAGGGTTGTTCTGGGAAGTAAAGCAATACATCCTGGAATTTATATAGTATACCTGCTATTGATACAAATATTAATATAAGTAATGTAATGCCACCATACAAATGAAAAGTTACTATCAAAGGTAAAAGAGAAATACGGCAGAGGCCCCAAGACCATGAAACCAAAGCCAGTAGCCACCTTTCAACAAAGGTCCAAAGCAACCATGACTTCTCCATTGCAGTAGTGAGGGATCTTTTAGTCCATAAGTATCCTGAAAAAAAAAATCAAACATAAGCATGTAAATACCAAACATAGAAAACAATCACGCATTCATTTCTCTGAAATTCATTAACAAACCACTGCATAAACAGAAGGTAACAAACTATTGTTTATTTCATCTTTTCTGTAACCCGATCACTTCAATCACTTCCCAAAGTTCAACTATAGTCATCAGAAGGGATCCTAGAAATTCATTTGCTATGGAAAACCATGGAATTTGTGTTAATAGAGAATCTTTAGTTTTGTGAAAAAAATGCAAACATATTAGCTACAGTAGTATTGTTTATCTGAGCCTCTGTTACCTGGCTCTCTGTATTAATCAAGCCAGGACTGTGAGCCCCAGGCAGCAGGCTTGTTTTTTAGCTGACAACAGGAGCCCCCGGCCGCCTCGGACTTAAGATCTTTGTAGGATATGGCCCACAGCTTCCTTTGATCTGGCCTTCAGCAATTCTCTGTGCTGGAGGCCAGAAGCCCCAAGACTCAGTGCTTCCTTCCCCACCCCGATGGGACTGGAATGCAAGTGGAGCCCCAGCACTTTGAGTTGAGTGTCTTTTTATTTTGGTTTCTCACTTGTGTGCCCCACCAGACTGATTTTTCTGTGGGTCAGTGGCCCCTGGCTCACAAAAGATTCCCACTCTGACCTACAGAGCAGTATTCCTCAACCTTTTTTTTTTTTTTAAATAAATACGCCCCCCCCCCCCTTTTTTTTTTTTTTAAAGAAAATACCCCCAGTACCTACAGCAGGAGATGAAATTTTTGGGTGTAAAAAGTACAAAAATAATAAAGTGCTGTAAAACTTAAAACAAAAATTCAGTTTTCTCCAGTTGTGTTGAAGTTCCCCCCAGACTTCTCTCGAATACCCCAAGGGGTACTCGTTGAGAAACACTGCTATAGAGTCCTTATTAGGGATGTTAAATGTACACTAATTAACTAATCAAATAATCAATTTCCATCGACTATTTGATTAGTCTATAGGGGAACCTCTGTCTTTGAACTGTAGCAAGAGCCCTGCTACAGTGCTATTTTTTTTTTCTTCATGGTGATAGTAACCCCATGTACTGGATTGTCATGATTATGAGGGTTAGCCAGCAGCCTGGGGATTAAGGAGTTAACTATACCTAGCCAGGTGGAATGACCAGTAGGAATGTAGGTGGGACTTTCAAACTGGGACAAAGGAATTTAGGATTTTTCCTTTCTCCTTTTGTCTCTCTGGGTGAGTCCTCTGCAGCTACAGGGAGGGACATGTGTCTGTCTGTCTGTCTGTCTCCCTCCCTCCCTCCCTCCCTTCAAGGAACAATTCTTCACTTTCTGTAAGTAGGGTAAAGTTTAGGTAGTTTCGTTAGGCTTTATTGTTTTAAGGGCTGGGTATGGGATCCGATATCTGGCACTGCTTAAGAGATGTTTGGCTTTTCTTTTAAACTAAGTTCTAGCCCATGGTGTAATTCCTCCATGAGTATATTGTTACCTTTTCATCTGATCCTTATGCTTGCAACAGGAATATTGTTGTAATAATAAAAGTTTTCTCTTTTCTTTTTATTAACCTGGCATTGGTTACTTGTGTGTCCTGATTTTTATAATAGGCGTGAGATCTCCCAAATGATCTTTCCCCTAATTTCATTATTAATATTTGGGTGGTGGCAGTGGAAGTTTTATTCCCATCTAGGTTTTTAAGATTTTGGGGGAAGTTTTATACCAAAGCCTGGTAGATAAGGCTTTGGGGTACACTTGCTGGCCCCCACTTCTGCATTTATCATGCCAGAGTGGGGAAGGAGCCATGACCTATTTGATTAGTCTATAAGGGAGCCTCCGTCTTTGAACTGTAGCAAGAGCCCTGCTACAGTGCTATTATGTTTTTTTGTTTTTTTTCTTCCTGGTGATAGTAACCCCATGTACTGGATCACAGGTATTTCCTTCATGAGTGAATGGCTTATATCAAAGAGGTATTTGGGATATCTTTTCTTTTTTTTCCAAGGGCAATCATTTCTCTTCTCTCTCAGGGACTCTTTTTTAAAGAGTCTTAGGGAACACTCCCTGCTGGCCCCGCACTTCCCCAATGGGGATCTTGTACATTTCAAAAGGAAGCTCGGTAGCGAGTGTGGGACCAGCGGGTGACACCACCACTGGCTCCTTGCTCTCTGCATCACCGGAGCCTTTGAAATGGACAAGCTCCCCCTTGGGGCTCTTGTACATTTCAAAAGGAAGCCCCGCAGGAAGTGGGGGCCAGCAGGGAGTTCCCTGAGACTCTTTAAAGAAGAGTCCCTGAGAAAGAAGAGCGAAATGATTGCCCTTGAAAAAAAAAGAAGAAAAGGGATCCCAAATATCTTTTTGATATAAGCCATTCACACACGAGGGAAATATCTGTGATCCAATACATGAGGTTACCGTCACCATGAGGAAAAAAATAGAAATAGGAACTGTCCTGACAAATCTAAAGAACCTCTAGAAGTCATAGCAGTGCTGAACTGAACTACATCAGATGCCACACTTCCCTATCTGAAGGCTGTGACAAGTGAAATTTTACAAGATAGCAGGCATTGGGGTTAACCAATAATCATCACCCTTACCAGGTGATGTTCACCAGATAAGTGGTTAACTGTCAGCCCGAGGTGGCTGGAGGTGCCCACCGCCTGACATGGGCAAGGGACTCCTCCAGCCCAGCCTGTCCCATGCTGCCAAGTGCCCAGCTGGCGCAGTCCCCCACCCACAGAGCAGTGGGCTTGGCCCAGCCCCAACGATTTGTCACGTACCTAAAGCATGGGAGAAAGTGTGCAGGCCTGGGCTGGTAGTGCAGGGTCTGAGTAGGAGGTACGGTGCAGTAGTGACGTGGGGAAGAGAGTAGAGAAGGGGGCCATCTACCTGGTGCAACTTCTGGGGAGGACACAGGTGGCTCTGTGTGCTCGAGCCACGCAGGGGACACTGTGGCTGGAGCACTAGCACCAGCTCCCCGCTGTGGGGGAGGAGTCCTGAGCTTCATGGACCTGATCAAGGCAAGCCACGGGCCATAGATTCCCAACCCGACCTAAAGTTTTATAGCTCTTGAAAAATGGAGCTTTAAAGAAATGGTACTTTGTTTAAACTGATAGTAAGGGGGAGGGGATACTGTACTACCACAAATCCATCTCTTTCCACAATAGGGCTGTAAAACCCAGTTTATCAGTTAACTGGTTAAATGTTATGATTATACGATTAACCACTTAAACGGGAAATGAGGAGGTGGGCAGAGGAGCTGCTCAAATCCAGTTCGGCTGTTGCAACCTTCCTGCCTGCCATGGCTGAGCTGGAGCGACCTCTGCCCATGGTGAGTCAGACCGGGTCCCCCATCGATGGGAGCTATTCTGGCCAGGCTAGAGCAGGCCCCTCTCATTAACCGTAACAGGTAAGCATTACCCGGCAAGGTGCATACCAGCTAACTGGTTGCCAGTGCCCGGGAGGGGAGAGGGGGAAGGAGATGATGATGCTTAGTGGTTAACCTGTTAATATTGGCTGGTGAGAGGGATGCTTGCTGGTTAACCATTCACTACCCTATTGTGCATTCAGCACTAGAGAGAATATTATACCTATCTGTGTCCTTGGGTATCTGATGATTAATACTGCGGTCAGCTGGCTGCATAGTATTCTTCCCTACAGTTATCTGAAACTTAGGACAACTGAAGGAATAAGTTACAACTGATGTTCAGCATTACAGCTTCTCAGAAGCTTGAAGGGGATTTGACAGAAGAGTAGTTTTAGACCCTCCACGATATAACTGTCACAAAAGTAGAGGAGGAAGACATATGATTAAATTGGTAGCCATGCAGTCCAAATAAAAGAGTTCCATAGAATTTTTAATTTTACTTTTCTCCCCGCTGCGCCCGAACATCATTTGAAAAAGTGTGCTCGAGTGTAGTAACAAAGATTCCTTTCTGAGAAAAACTGAAATTAAACTTCTGGAAGTGACCCTGTAAACTAATATGAATGTAAAATAATTTTACAGAAGACTACAGATAGTATTTTCTTCAGAGAGCAGTACTGCCATCAAGCTGCAAAACTGCTTACTACAACACAAGCACAATACTTAACCCAGGGATAGGCGAACAACCACAAAAAGTGGATTGGCTTCACGAGTGGCCCTCCTTCACCTCAATGGGCTGCAACAGCCCATGGTAGGGATGTAAACTAGTCAAATATACCATTAACTGATAAGCCTAGACTTACTGGTTAAATTCTTGACTACTAACATTTTACCTACTTCAGAGGTGGGGAGGGGAGGAGGAGGAGGGAGCAGGAGCCAGCTTAAAAGCCAACCCCCCCCAGCACGAGCTCTGCAGTGCCACCTTGCCCCCCCTCCCCCCCGCGCTGCTGCCTCTGAGGGCAGGGGAGGCTGTTTCATGGCAGCAACCCCTGTCTGTGTGGGGGGTCTGAGGTCCCTGCAGACAGAGGCGCCTTGGTAACCTTGGACCCGCCGCAGAGGCTCGCCCCCCGA